GCTCACTTCAAAGCACCCGGTGCTAAAGTGGATGAAGGGAGGGTGGCTGCGGTAAGCTATTCACTGCATCGAACAGGGCTGGCTTTTGCCTGAGATTTGCATCACAGGCTGCACTTGTGTGTGGTCGTTCCAGGTCGCAGGGCCCTTTTCCCAAGTTTGGGGTGATAACCCTGGTGTTCCTGCTCAATTCTGGCACGGCAGATGGCACTCTACCTACGCAAACACCTCCTGGCAGTTCCAGTTAGCACCATCTAGCTCTTACCAGTAGATCTCAAAGCACTTTGCAAAGGAGGTCAGTATCCGCATCCCCATTGTACGGATGGGGAAACTGAGGCACAGAGCGGGGACATGGTTCGCCTGAGGTCACCCAGCAGGCCAGGGGCTGAGCTGGGACCTGAGTCCAGGTTCGGAGTCCCCAGTCTCCAATCCACGGTAGTCACAGGATTCTCTCTCTCTTCTAAATGGCCGGGCAGTTCTCAGAGAGTTGTTGCGTCCCACCCCGGACGCTGTTTCTGGGCGTCCTTTGGCAGAAATGCCGGCATAGAAATGCAAAGAATTATTAACAAACCTGGGACTGAAGCCTGGTTTTAGCAGTGACACAAAGTCCTTTTTTGAAACCACTGCTTTGACGCTTCACTAAAATCAGAGCGCTCGGCCGTGCCCTGGTCGGGGGCTGCGTGGTGGTCCAGCTGCCCTCGTTAGATATTCATTCAGCATAGCTGTCTCCTGCCGTGTGGTTTTGCATATTTGTAAATCCACTCATCCCCCAAAAGGCCCCTCAAGGTTAGGTATCGGTCATTGCACCAATTCCCCCTTGTGTGAAGAATAAATCACCCAGTTGGTACGTGGACAGGGCGCAAGTGTTCTTTCAGTGACCGTCGGAAGGTGCGGAGTGGGGGCAGCGCTGCATTCCCCAGGCCCCACCGTTGAATGGAATCGGCTCTTGGCTGGCACACGGCAGTAACCAGAAGTTGATTTTTGGCCTTGGCAGTTTGCTTTGTTTTGATCTCATGCAGCATCTCAGCTGAGAGACAGGGCACCCTAGGGAACAAAGTTAAGCCCAGCGACGGCCGCTGTTTTCATCATGCTTGTAGACAAAAGTGTCGTAACCAGGGCCTGAGAAGGATTTGAAGCGCAGCGGACACCTGTCTCCACCACGGATTTGAGCTGTGTTTGTAATGAGTCAGTGGCATGGTTGGCTGGGGAGGCGGTTAAGACAGCTGCTGAAGTGTGCAAGACCTCAGCCCCAGACCTGCATCTCGTTAGGGTTTTTCCTCTTCCTCGTTGGCATGGTGCACGCGGGGCCAGATTGAGAGAGGTTGCTATTAACCTCAGTCAGCTTAGCAAGGGAGGGTGTGGGGGTCTCTATTCTTTGAGGACTTGAAATGGGGAATGGAGGCTGCTTTCTCAGCCCCGTGAAGGTGGCTGCTGGAATCACGGGGCGCGGCTCTCGGCAGCACGTCCGGCTACATCTAGCATGGTCCCTCCTGGCCTTCAAATCTCTGAATCTAGGATCTACCTGAAAATCAAAGGCTCTGAATTGAGGCCGGAATGAAAAGCAAGGGGGGGGGGGCTTGAGAGCTGAGCACGACCCTTGTGAAACTTGAGTTCTTACTGCAACCCACCCTCCAGCCCGATTTGCACCTGCCTCCACGGCCCCTGCCCTTACCCCACGCTAGGGGGAGCCTGGACCTTGTCTGCCTGATGCTGTCGCGCATGGTACTGGAAGTGGCAGAGGATCTGCTCCACTCGAGGGAGTTCCCGGAACTGGCCTGGGTCAGGGTGATTTTGCAGATGCAGAATATTTTCCCATTAGCCTCTTCCTTTATCTCTGCCCCATCTCCCAGTTCCGAGCAGCGGGGAGTTGTGTGGGGGGGACCCAGGACCCAGCATGCACCACACAGTCTTTGTCCCTGTGCACTCGAGGGTAGCAGGTCGTGCCTTCCCCGCTACCGGCCCAGCATTGTCGAGGTGACGCCACTGGTCTCCATGGGGAAGGGGGATGGGGTGGGGAGGATGCTATGGCAACCAGCCGGCACAGGGGAGAAGGGAAGAGGAGTTGCCTAGCAACAGAGGAAGTGCCAGGATGTTCTGATCTAACCAGCCTTGATGTTTGGGGGGAGTGGGATGGGGAGGAGAAGCGAAGGTGTCCATGCTGTCCCGGGGGTGGGGGCGGTGAGGATGAATTCTCGAATGTCTGCAAACAGTTTTGGCCAGCAGGGATTAGGGTGGGGGGGCGCTGAGAGCAGTGCCCTTGGACAGAGGGGTTACCCACCCCGCTGGAGCAGCAGCCAGGCTGCGGTGCCCAGCTAGGGAGGGGCTCCCAGGGCCCAGATGTTGGCTGCAGGTCAGCGAGTCTCAGGTGCTTGGGCTGGATTCATCCCGGGGGGGGACTGGGGGCTTGTTTTTCTTTTAGGAGGGCAGCTCCTCTCCTTTGGCCCAGGTTTCCCGCGGGTTGGAACCCCGTGTCCTGGAATGGCTCCGGGATCCGTCCTACCCGCACACGCCCAGCAAAGCTCCCGTCCCATACGGGGAGGGGGGGGGGATCGGCAGTTTGCTAGCTCAGCAGGACGTGTGTGTGTCCCCCGGCCGGGGGCAGGGACCAGAACGGGACAGATGCCGCTCGCTGGCGCCTGGCGGGTACTGAATTGTCACCAGACGCCCCCTTATAAACACCCGACTCTTATCTAGGCACAGGGGATTGCTGCAGGGTTCTCCGGGTACCTTGGGCCCAGCTCTGGCTCCAGCCCAATTAAACGGATGCAGGTGCCACTTTCAACATGAGGTGCAACATCTCAGTATTTGTCTCTGCCAGGCCCGTCTAGCCAATGGGACGATGGCAGAGCGCTGGGGGCTCGGGGAATTCACCCGGGGACGTAGCAGCGCCATTCCCAGCTCGGCCGCACGGCGCCGAAGGGGTCACTAACAGCTCTCAGGGCTAAGCACTTCGTCGGCTCTGCGCCCAACTCCCTAGTAGCCCAGATCGGGCTGCTCCTGGCTCTGTCATTGGGTCTCCCTCCCTTGGGGCTCAGTGTGCCCACCCTCAGCCGGCCGCTGCAACTCCCCTGCCTGCGGGCTCCATTCGGGCCCCATACGCTGGTCAGTGGCTGGACTCGGCCCAGTCATGGGAGCGTTTCTGCCCGGACCAGCCAACCGATGTGCGTGCGCGTAACGCCCAGGCCCGCACTTGTGGAAGGTCACCAGCAGGTGGCAGCATGCCAGGCCTTATTTTTCTGTGGCAGCATCTGGCTTTGTAGCAAAGACCCCACCCGGCCCCCCGATTCCCTCCAGGCCCCACCCGCTGGAGTTGGCCCCTGGCACCTCCACAACGCCTGGGGTTGGGCGCAGCTGCTCTTCCCTGGCGCCAGCGGCTGGGTCAGCGGCCTGCGGTGTCCAGCGCTCCAGTGACAGCCCAGCTGGAGCTCTGGTCCCCTTCTGGGTTCTGCCCAGCGTGGGAAGGGCCGGATTCCCCGCCCCCACCCAGGGGTGTTCAGGCCCCTCCACCCAACGCTTTCGAAGCCCTAGCAGCAGCGGGGGGGGTGGGGGGTGGAGGCGGGAATCGCTTTACCCCTGATTTCAGAAGGCACCAGCCAGGGGCAGGGGAAATTGGCAAGGAAGAGAAATGAAGCACTGGAGGTCTCAGTCCGGCTGGCCCGTAGCCAGCTCATTTATTACAAATATAGAGATCTATAATTTAATACAAAACCCCACCCAGCCCGGCAATAAAGCCAGGCGCTGGGCGGGGGAACCCTGTGTTGCCGGGCAGCCGCAGCGTGGGGGCTGTTTGCTGTCTGGGCAAAGCGAAGAGACATTTCAGGATGAGGAACCCCGCTGTGTGCTGTGCTGGGGGGGCCAGCATGGGGGGGGGTATTCGCTGAGGTCCAGCCGAGAGCCCTGAGATTAGACGGCCAACCAGGCCTGAGCAATTGCCCAGGGGCCTGCGTTTCTGGCCAGTGTCTGAGGTTAGCCTGGCCGGGTGGGGGTCGGGGTGGGGTGGGGGGGTGGCAGTCAGGGAGTGAGACAGGTGGATGTTGGGGCAGTGTCTGTGTGTCAGGTGTACGGCTGGTGAGTGAGGGGCAGAGCTGTGGGCTGTGTAGATACGTTGGGCACGTATGTGTACATGAGGGTGTATACCCTGGCGTGTGTGTGTGTACATGAAGGTGTGTACCCTGGCGTGTGTGTGTGTGTGTGTGTGTTTAGTGGGGGATGTACACAGTTGTGTGTGTGTACACATTGGGGGTGTACACAGCGGCAGGCGCACTCGTGTGTGTGTGTGTGTGTGTACATGGGGGTGTACACAGCGGCAGGTGTGTGTGTGTGTGTACATTGGGGGTGTACACAGCGGCATGCGTGTGTGTGTGTCTGTGTGTACATGGGGGTGTACACAGCGGCAGGTGTGTGTGTGTACAATGGCAGGTGCGTGTGTGTGTGTGTGTACATGGGGACGTACACAGCGGCAGATGTGTGTGTTTGTACATTGGGGGTGTACACAGCGGCAGATGTGTGTGTGTGTGTGTGTGTGTGTGTGTGTACGTACGT